CCCACCCAATACATTATACATTTTATTAACTACTTCATTTTAAAATAAAATCATGCATTTAGCCCGCTAACACAAACATATAATACAGACAGCGCCGCGCTCACCATCACAATATGACTGTTTTCCCTTTCTCCTGGGGTATGTTCACTGTTCCATCACTCTGAACGGTAGTTGGTAATGCAGGCGATAGAACGTAAAATATTTAGAAAGGGCATACCTGATGCAAATATGAGAAACCTAAATGGTTGCACCATGTAACCGGAACCAGCATGGGTTATTGATAGGGGATACATAGGCTAGCAAGAACCAATATATGGAACATACCACTCTGTAGTTATACTCGCCTTCCTGATTAAAATGGACTGACCCAACACCAAACATGTTCTCATAATTATTTTGCCTGGAACATGTAACATTGACCACAATCTGTCAATGACCTACATCTATTTGATGTATTCATTCGCTTGCTATATATCAGAATGTTATGAATTATAGAACGGTTTATACTGCTGTCAGTGGTAAATAAGTTAGTTGCTGGACCTCATGAACGATCAACTTACTATATCATCTATCATTTATTTACTGTTATCATCATGCGAAGCTATATTGATTACCATTGTCAATGTTTGTCCTATCTATTTTGCGATGCATGCTGGAATTAGGGCATTCATTTTGCAGTGAATGCCTCGAGCTTACTCGCTGTTCTGGTCGAAGTTACGGCTGAATAACAGCACACAGCTCCCGGGCTGTGACAGTGAAAAACCGTTAGCGCATGTAAAACAGACATAACCAATCACCCTGCTTTCGTCTGCTTTCTCCAATCCAGGACTCCGCATCGATATAGACTCTAGCAGTGATGCATTTGCCTACAGTGAAAATCGGATCGGACGATGGACCCAGGTAAGTTTCACTTTCCTATTCCTATTACATGTTTTGGTAATTTCTTATTGCTAACATTTCTTCAAATTTCACAAAACCATCGTTGTTTGTTTGCAAAGTTTTCTATTGATCCGTTAGCATGTTGTGGTATATACATGAAGGATCTACTTTATTCAGGTTTTCTTACCTCATCTCTCTTCATATGAGAAGCTCTAAATAAATGTCAGCGAACGTTTATCTAAGGTAATTCAATTGATAGACCCGTTGATTTCTTAGTTTTGATAATTTTTGATTTGTAACCTTTTCGTAATTCATTTGTGATAAAACCATGAAAAGTATTAAATTTACGACAAGGGAATTGACAACTGGCTTGGATTAGAGAAAAATAATGTCAATAGATGACCACAACTCGGTTGTGTGTTTGTTTGTTTACGTTTAACGGCCCATCGACGGCTGCGGTCATTTAGGGTCATGGTGATTTTTTTTAACAAACATGTGAGTAACGAAGATAAGATCAGATAAAAAGGTTCATTTTAAAAGCATTCGCATTGTATGTGTAAACTCGAACAAAATACATAATTTGCATATATTTGTACTAATAAGAACTATAAGGTAGCCGTCGCGTGCTATCTTACATGTAATTTACATCATCAACGCAGTGTCCGTCACCAGACCGTTTCAATTTCATCAGCTTCGATCGAGAATTGAATCTCTTTATTAATGAATCATTTTCGTGATCCATTTCAGATAAATTTCATAGTGTGTTTGGTTCAAACAGCCAAGCATGTGTATGTAGATAGTTTATTGATTGAAATGTATTCCTTGGCGGATGCAATTACTTAATGACAATGCGACTACGTTCTGGAACAAGTGCCGATCAACAAGGCGTTCCACAAGCACGACCACCAAACTGTTTAACCACTAGAGAGTAAAAGCATAAAGGCGAACGCGGGTTGTAGTTTAATGATTATTGTCAATTTCTAAACCTCTAACCTCTTAAAGCGGAATTTTGTTTATGATGACATTATTTTTTCTGAATAAACCTACACAATTTACTACTGAATAGATATAACAAAATTGTTACGTAAAGAAATCAAGCGCTGAGACACCTGGTGACCGGATTACATCGTAAACCTGGATAATTAAACAGGAATCAGTGTCAACGCTCGGGAACCTGACTTAATTTTGGAATAATTAGAAAAACAACAAATAAATAAAAAAGTGATCTAGAAGTGTTTGTGTCGCTCGACCGTAGTGTATTGCTAGAATGATACTTTGAGCCTCTTTCAAAAATCTTGTATGATAATGGAAAATCAATTAAAATCATATATATGTTGATTGTGTTCATATGGACTTTATGAGGGAATAATACCCATTCTATAAAACTTAAAAGCCGTTTTCTATAACGAATGCGATGTACAGGATAAGAGTTGGAGTCATTCGGTAAACGTCGACATTTGCAATTACGCATAGTATAACTTTGTTTGCTATGCGATAAATCATATCGAACTATTTGGTCTCTAAAATCAAAACTTCAAGATTCTCATTTCAATTTTAGGCTGATTTATTTTGATAACGGCACATCAGAAAACACTTTTAAAATATATCGGTCGTAATAAAAAAAAAACAACAAAAAAACCCAACAGTTTATGAAATGTTTAAATTAGACACTGGAATGATACGCTTTTAGATGCTGGTTGTTCGATCTGGCAATATATTTATTATTTCGTCAAAATGATTCATTCGAATATAGTATCACAGGATCCAATTAAAAAGAAAATCCTTGTTACTTTGTGCAAACGTACTGTTGGCGTTAAATGACATCCCGTCCCCTCGCAGCTGCGTGTTTCCCCGTTTAATTTCAACACATACTATATAATGGTGGTAAGGGAATCGAACGATTGAAACCCATCCGGGTTGTTCTCCAATGTCAGCCTTTTATCGCGTATCTCTACCACAGCACCAATGCTCAGGAGTAAAATCAACGAGGAGACGTTTTGATTTTTTGATTGATAACACATCTATGAGTTTGTTAAAATGTTCATGCAATTATCATTTGGACACCACGTCCTCTCCAGAAATCAAGCTTTAGTTGTATTCGTTCCATCGGATGAGTTGCGCCATTATACGGTCGTAGAACTGGAAACCCTGAGAGACTTTAGTCCGCCAAATCATACAGTACCGGGGGCTTTATAAGTAATGGATGTTATTGAAACATTTAACTGCTTGGGTTGGTATCCAAATACACTGTGATTGCCAAATATGCATCATTATATACATGGCACGGGTCCAGAATGTCGTGTTTGCTGGATAGAGAGGTCGATGGTAGCCAGCACTAATATTGCAATTTAAAAGCATTTAAGGAGTTTAACAAGAAACCAATTTTAGAGAGAGAGAAAAGCGGAAACGGAGATAGAGAAGTTTGATTTTAATGATCTCATACAATAGTTGTGTATCAGATTTAAATAGAATATATGAATAGTTTGTTAAGGCTTTATTTCAATGCAGTGTTCTTTACATAATAAATATGTAAATATAATATATGTATGTATGTGCAAGGAAAACATGACCAGAAATAAACCCCAGCGTCAACACGCAAAGACAAAAAAGGATACACAACAATAGATATCGAACTGATTCCATGTTGCTACTGTCATGATGTTGAATCTACCACACCGTCGAGCGACTCGCTCACGAAATACCCTATCGATAAACCTCTAGCGAACTGATCAGCAGCGAAATGCCGTCACAAAAAAATACTGAGAAATGGTAAAGACTGAGAAAAAGACATTCAATAAATTCTGCGCAAATTATCTACAACCAAATTGCTGTTTTTGAAAATTCCAGCAAACTCATCGATAAGAAACTACTAAATTCAAAAAACAAAAATAACCCCCAAAAAACCACACGAAATTGGACAGCTTAAAATTTGAATATGAATAAGTATCAAAATGTAACAAGGTCATTTCAGATGATATTTTTAATGAAAAAACTTTCTTCATTGGCTAAACGAAATACCGTTATACGTAGAATGTCGAAGTCGACATGATCGGTTGCTGCCAATGCTTTTTCTCTCTCAATGTAGTTAGGCTTACAAAACGTCAAAATGTAGGCCAGTGAAATTTGATAAAGTCTCACAGAAACTCACACTTTAGCATGTAAATTCACTATAGTAAATATTTTATATCTGTAAAGTTGTAACTAATTCAATGGTTGTGTCTTAAAGATACACAAAAAATAAAATTTGCGCTAATCACTGATTAATACGATGGCCGATAGCAGCCGACACAAAACAACTACAATATAAGACTTTGATGTACATGTACACTTTTTAAAAACTGTTCATGTACACAATACAACTACAATATAGGACATTTGTGTACATGTACCCTTTTTAAAAACTGTACATGTACACAATACAACTACAAGTGCTATTAGCATTCCTTAACGGTTCGGATCAAATTGATATTTCACACGTGTCTGATACGGCGGCTAATAAACGACAAGGAAATTACTAGATTCCCCAGAAGTCAAACAGTACTAGACGGTCACAAATCAGAGGTATACCAAATATCATATAATTTGTATGTGATTTTTGGAGTAATGGTTGGAGACAAAACAAAAACATGTAGTTACTTAATTTGTATATATAATTATAATGTTAACTCAATAACCCAAAATACGTAACTTAAAGTGTTCCATGTGACATATTCACAAATTTGAAGGCTATTGCCTTTGGTATAAAACACTAGTTATTTCTCTCAGAACAATCTACATACAACTTTTGTTACAGTAAGTATTATATTATATTTGGTTTTAGCACTCAACTATTCACACTGAACAAGGCAACGTTCTACTTTATGACTCCAATCCATACTTTAGGTAAAGCCCACATAGATATGCATATAACGATGGCTTATGTCTGTTACATTTCTTTCAAATTAAAAATAGGACATAAGACCTATCAACATACAAAGAAAAAATTAAGAAAATTAAACACTTGATAATTACTTATGTCAAACTTTTCTAGTATATCCATTTTCAGGTGATGAGATTAAGTCGTCTTCAAGCATCAACTAGTGAAATATTACGTAGCAACACGGTGTGGTGACCTCTATCGCATCTTCGCTGATTTATGAACATATTCCCTTTCCTTGTTGTTTGGTCTTTAAATTCACCGCCGCATCAGGCATGTGTGAAATATCAAGTTGACCCGAACCGTTAAGGAATGTTAATAGCACTTGTAGTTGTATTGTGTACATGTACAGTTTTTAAAAAGTGTACATGTACACAAATGTCTTATATTGTAGTTGTTTTGTGTCGGCAGCTATCGGCCATCGTAGACTAAGCTAATCACCTTTTGAACAACTGGGCCCTGGACAGTGCATGTAAGTAGCACTTAGGAACATCGATACCATTTGGGGACAGTTGTGCGAGGTCTGGAGCTAATTTTTCCGATTTTATACGGGTTATTTTCTTTAGTACTTGACCTAGGAGGTCAAGGTCGGTAGTTACTATATTTTTTCCCCCAGTGCTGTTAATAGACACTCAGGTTTGTAGCACATTATTAAACTACCAGCGCACCGATGAATTTTCATGTCTACAATACACAAACGAGTACAATTTAATAAACACTTCAATTATTTGTGCACGCGCGATTTCCCAAATTATGTAAGTGAATTGACTTGCTAGGTCTATTGGATTTAGTATGGTTGATTTCCTGTACCTCCGAATAAGCAAGATGGACGTTGCTTGAAACAACCGTCGACTTTCGCACTTAAAGAAGGCCAGCAGGCCGAAATATAAGAACTTACAGTGACATTTGTTGTAGATTTTTATCTTTTTTTCCCTTTGGAAATCATCTGTTGTTTATTACTTCAATTATCGTAGTCGTAACTTAGGACAATACATTCTAGCGTGAAAGGCGCTTAAAATATTACCACTAAATATGTCCGTATGCAGTATAACAATGAAATACGACCATCTCACAATCAAACTACTCTATCTCAGAAAGGAAGCTGCTAGATAAATAAAGCCCTGTTCAGTTTTTCCATAAATATTGACAACTACATTCAAAACGAAACTGATAGGCAATTGAAGTTGATTGCAGTTAGAATAAAAAGACAACGAAAACGACATCAAATGAATTTTAACGTATTTCTGTTAACTTGACTAATGACATCTTGCGTGACCTCTCTACATTTCTGTTTAATTTGAACATGAACATACAAGAAAGAGGTTATTAAATCCAATTCTCCTGATCTGCGCTGTCTGTGTTGCGGAAACACTATGACTAAATCCCTTTACCGTACTCTGGGGTAATCCCAATGACAGGACCGTTTATATTTATTTATATTAGTCGGATAATACACGTTGCGGCTTGAATTCTTTTTTGTTTTTGCATGTTTTTATAAAAGTGCCACAAGTTGTTAGAGCTTCTCTGTGTTTGTCATTAAATACGACCTATTCTTACACACTGTCGTGCGCTTGTGTAACGTTATACAAGTTATACAATGTCAGTCGGTACTTCGACGAATATCCTCGATACTCAAGGGGTTACGCTCACCTTTGGTCTCTGCAGCCCTGGAATATGTCGTAGTTTGGTTTAATTTTGTTTAACAATATATTAACAGCTAAGGTCATTCAAGGACGTGCCTCCATGTGTGCGGTGTATGCGTGCTTGCGTGTGTGTATGCGTGCTTGTGTGTGTGTATGCAGGAGACAGGGGGGAACTAAAGGCACACGAAAAACAGTATGATTTATTTTAGATGAATAAAACCCTAACCAATCGCTAGGCTGGTACCTGTCCTTTGAAAATTACAAAGGAGTGACACCCGACTTCAAAGCCGGTCAATTTTTACCACTACGCGACCGCGTGATTATTTTGATGTACATTAAATGATCGTACTAGTCTTCTTGACTCTTCAACAAGGTGGCGTCCACTGAACATTCAATTTTGCTATGAGGTGTTCCAGGGGCGGAGAGAGCGAAATTGAGTGTTGTCCCTGGATATCGAGGATGTTCAACGAACTGTATGATATTCTGGTGACAGTTTTAAAGATTGAAATGGTGAGTCTAGTTGTGATCCCAACGAACCGCTTTGAGGCGTTAAAATGATATATTTTAAATGCTTGCTTATTACGATAAACAGTACCGCTGTACCAGCTATTATGTTAAAGGAGGTTACTATTTAGAAAGATGAACAAAACACAAACAAATGATTTCACCTTTAAAGTTTGGTAACAGTTACAGTATGTCAAAAATATGTCACTGCACAATACAACTAGTTCGTCTGTCGATGACTCATCGGTGATGCCAGGGGCCAAAAAGTTCGAAAAACAGAAGGAGACGTTCGTTAAAACTCTTAAATATATAACTTTGAAAATAGAGACATAAAGAATAAAGCAACATACTTGCCTGGCTTAGTAATACCTTAATCGGCAAAGTATTCATCCTTCACTTTGATGCTGCGTATTAATAATGCATGTATTGAAACCATTGGTAAGGCGTAGGATGAGCAAAAGATAAGTCTCGAGTTCGGCCCCTAGATTGTATGTGTTTTTGTTTGTTTTTGTTTTGTTTCCTAATACTCAAAATGCAACTCTGTAAAGTGCGCAGCCAGATGGAATTTATATCGAATAGATCTGTCTAAAAGGAATTAAATTAATATCTTATGGTAATACATGCGGTGAAAGTTTATTTTAAACGGATGGCAATCTTATACTCAAACGTCAATATTTTGTATCAGGAAAGATTGTGATGTAAAATCTACAAAATTAAACAAATAAAAATAACTCATGCATCCGTACGTGTCACACAGGCAATTACGTTACAAAGATCTCCCCGTAAGACTGTACATGTATAAACACATGCCATGCGAAATTTGCATATATATGTTGGGTTTGTCAACTTTCAACTATAAAATAATAATACATTGTAATAATGAAATCCTGCAAGATGACTAAATTGAGGGTTGACTTATGGCACCACCACACAAATGTTTATAATTGTTATTTATATGTTCCTATCCTCGTACTGTGAACGACAATTGAGTCTAGAGTTTTTCATGACGTTATTTGTGACTGGGTAAGTCAAAACGTCAGACAAATGTAGACTTAAGATCGTTATATGATCCTAGGGCTTTCGCCATATGTATAAACGCAGGAACAGTGTAAGTCTACGTTCTTTGCAGTCAGCTGAGAAAATGAAATGAAACAGAAAACATATTACAGGCTTTTATTATTAGGATATCAACGCTTTATTTTACATGATGTTACTTTTGCGTAATAACGGATTTGTGAAAAAAAAATGGCGGTACGGATCATTGTGCCAGAACTGTTTATTGTGTGTCCTATCCTTACCCACACTTCGTCACCTTTAAATTTACGCAACTGGATCAGCATACACCAGTTCCGTCTGAGGGATATTCCAAAGCTCTCTGTACATCATTATATAGCACTATGAAGTCGGCGTTAGATCCGCGCTATCACAAGGAGGATAATATACCAACATACCCTGTCTCCTGCACACACTCACGCAAACACGCATACACAATACGCATGGAGGCACGTCCTTAAGTGAAAGTGATCTTCGCTTGTGATAGGACGTACAAAAATCCCCCCCTCCCCCCCGTGTACATCATGTGTTGATGGAATTATAATATCCAAGTAAATACAAGTATGGACAGTCCTAGTGCTGTACAAATGAACGTCTCATTGTCACTGTAACAGTAACCGACGTTTGATTAAATTTGATCGAATCGAATTGGCTTGTTTCTTGCCACTGCTTTAATAATTCAAGTTCAAAACTATTGGAATTACAGGAGACCTAATGCCTGTGTCTTTTTCCATTTGTGATTTTGAAGTTGTAGTTCGTCCGTTTAAAGATTTCTTATTCATTGGAACACAGTTGTTCTGTGTGGCTGGCAATTACATGTGTATATCTACAGCGCGTTGTTCAGGCAGCGTTTTTGCGTCTAAGTCCGCGATTACGCGTTAGTAAATATTCTTTGGTATATTTTGATATCGCCGACTTCAGACGTTGAACATTTTGCGGCCTTTTTGAGATCAGAAATTCGTTGCTTGTTGGCTTGTTTTTACTGTCCGCTATCATTTAAAGCTGATTCCATTATTGTTCCTTAAGTAAAGCGATGCGTGCATGATTGTCGAAGTGTTCCCACAAGCAACAGGAATAGCAAAGTACAACAATACAACATTTTCGAGGTAACAGTTATATTTAGAATGTACGCACAAGGTGTTAGCCTTCGGTTTTATGACATACTGATGAAATGGGACCCTACAGTCTTCAGCAAATATACATTACGTATATAATATATTTGGTCATAGGACATTTTAAACATGAATTGCGAGGTATTTTAGCATACAGACTTTTAGATTTTAGTGATTATTTACAGTCAAACTACCTTGTGGTAAAATGGTCCAAAAATATATAACTTACGATTCGTAATGCTTAAGTTACAAAAAGTAAAAACAAACTTCGAGAAAAGGGAAAATTCGTCATATCCGAACGTTTAAAAACGTTCAGGAAATTAACAATAATTATAGCAAGGAACGGAAGTTTGCTTCTTCCAGAAGAGTACAAAAATATACAATATGCATTGTTGTTTCACGTTCAACTTCGAGGTGAGGAATGTGAAAACAAGTGATTATGGGGGAAAATACTTACTTCGACACAGAAAGCCTTCGGCATAGCCCTATTAAAAACCTTAAAATTAAACTGCCAAAGAAACCCATAAACGGCCACGAATTTTGCTTGTGTCCTATTAACAGCTAAGGTAATTTAAGGACGTGCCTCCATTTGTGTTGTGTATGCGTGCATGTGTGCCGGAGGCATTTGATATATCGTCATTAAATGTTACTGTCGAGGACAATGTCGGAAAGGAGTTATTTCAATTGTGTTTTGCATTAAAGCACAATATAAGTATGTAATTTCTACTGTTTTGTTGTTGAGGATTCATACTGTGACATTCGACACACATTCATAAACACAGGCAATGGTGGTTTTGTCACTGTCATGGGAAAATCAAACACACAACATGCTGATGTTTGAGTCGACATTGAATCATATTGTGGAAGGTTGATCGACGGGGAGATACTTTAAAGGTCAGAACGGTACAATAGCAGCAAAGACAATAGCAGCACAGACTTAGTGCTTTTCTCTGTCGTGATAAGAACGCCGTACGAAAACCTGTCGGTGTGACCGGCCTACTGAACTTCAAATACTTGTGTAGAGTATACTATGCTGTTGAATTCCCATGACCGTTTTAAAAAGGTTCTGGGTCATATTTTATCAGTATGTTTAAAACAGACGCATATACCTTGTTAATACATTCTAAACATGAAGGCTTTCACCTCGAACATGCTGTGGTTCTGGTACTTTTCTACCTGTCTTTCTGCCGTTTGCGGCCAGACTTTGGACAATGACCACGCTGACACCGTTGTACAGAACACTGACCGAGACATAATGCCGAACGTTCAACGCCGTTTAGTTACCATTGAATCCCAACACGCTGACAGTTTATCGCGTATTGCTGTTCTAGAAGAACAACAACAGCATCAACTTCAGATAATAGCAGAACTTGTAAACTACCGACAAACTGACAAGCAACGAATTTCTGATCTTGAAAACCACCGCGAAAACGACCAGCGGCATATTTACGACCTTGAAAACAGCATAAAATTTGCTCAACGTCAAATTTCTGAGTTTTCCAAATACCAAAACATTTACAAACGCCGAATCACGAACTTTGAAAAACGGAGAGACAACGACCTGAAGCGAATAACAAACCTTGAAAAACTCAGCCAAAATGGTATACACCGAATGGCTGCCATGGAAATACAGAGGAAAAATGACCGACATCAAGTTCTATTAGTGAAAAGACTATTAAAGCAGCTTGAAAAACAAACGATGAATGATAATTTGCCAGACAAACAAAAGGATGCTCTGTCAACGGATTCTGTTCCCATGGATAAGATATTTTCTTGGACGGAGCGAACCCAAATGAAACACCAACCAATGACAAGAGTGACAGAAACTAAGCCAACTGTTATTGCGTTCCGTGCTTCTTTATCTCACGATATTGATAGAGCATCGATAAACATGCCAATTCAGTTTGATCAGATATCCCTAAACGTGGGTCGTTGTTACAGTGGTAATACTGGAGTATTCACCTGTACATCGCCTGGAATTTACATGTTTTCATGGACAGTACAAATACATACACACATGATGTACACAGAACTCGTCCGTAACGGTGGGAGAATCGCAGTTGGCTATGCCGGAGACACGAGTTATGACTCTGCAGGAACTGGTGTAGCGCTAATTGAGTTGAACCAAGGGGACGAAGTATTGGTTAGAGTACATTCTTTCAACCACGTGTCCGAAGCAGGCCATATGTTGGGAACCTCTGGTGTGACATCTTTTTCTGGATTTCAAGTACAGTAAAAAGTGAAGTTCACCAGGACTAATTCATTTCAATAATAATAAGTATGTTAAAATAACTGTAATTCTAAATAAAATAACGACTGCAGTCTGACAATTTAAAAATATTCATAATTGTCTAGTGATCATTCCAGTCAAGTAATTCCAACACTGTGGCCTTAAGCATTGTTGATGTTCTGGTAATACAATAAAGCTTTTCATATGATTTCTGTATTGTGTCTTTTTTTTTTGTCCCTCCAATGACATTTCAATTTATCTGTTGTTTCTGTAAATATTAACAATAACAACAAAATGCCATTGCAAAAAGAAGTCAAGCTGAATTAGTTCGACAACAGTTTGTGTTTTATAAATCAGTAATAAGAAAATAAGTTTAAAGAGTTTAACTTATTACTTGGATTCCTAAAAGTGACATTTCTTTATTTTTTCGAACATTTAACCTAATGTTTTCCCTTAAAGATAACAAAAGAATGTAGTTTTCTTTGGATGAACGAGATTACACTTTTATACTGTTGGCTAATGTCTATAGTAATGAGACATGTTGTACTGATGATGGTTTGTCGATTGGACAGGGTTCAACGTCCTATTAACAACTAGGACACGCCTCTCTGTGTATTGTGTATGCGTGCATGTGTGTATGTACCGATGATCTGATGCCGACCTGATAGTGCTACCTCAGTGAAATACCATGTCGACGACACCCAGCACAGCATTCCGACGGTCGCATTATATTGGTAACGGATGAACCAGTTGTTGCCATAAGTGCTAAAGGTTCAGCAGGGAATGACTTATATTAAGTACTTTGGTATGTCCCGGCCTGGGGACAGAACCCATTGCCTTCCTTACCTGGGCTATCGTTCAACATTAAAACCAAAAGTGAAGTATTGCCAATACTTCACTAGGAAACAAAAGGTGGTAAGAATTAGAAAGAAATACAAAGAACCCAATATTGCTATGGGTGGAGCAGATATATTTTGGTTGCTGTTGTTTCCATAAGCAGAGGGTACAAACGCATGTCCCCAATTCTGAAGTGAGTTCCCACATATATCGACTCTTACGATCATGCAGTCGGTAGCAGCAGGTATATTTTTTCAGTATCCGCAGTGGTGCTTTACTGGTAATTTTATTTACCGTATTAACGATGTCTTAAAATATAATGAAACGCATGCGACTCCTTTTAATCAAAGTGTCCGGATTTAAGAGTATCCACGCTGCGTTTCTCTTAACCGGAAAGAAAAAGCATACAAATACGGAAAAAACAAAGAAACTATAAAAAAAATCAAATATATATAAACAATATAAATCGCTCACTCTGTCATAGCTTGACAAAAGGAAGAGTCGTACTTGAAACGTTACGCCACATACCTGTTAATTCCTGATACACTTTGTAAACTATCCGGATTTCAGCGGAACTCTTTCGTTGTTATTTAGCAGGTGTTTATGTAGATTTTTCAATAAACTGAAACATCTGCATACAAAAGCTTCCATACTGCTAACATATTACGAATTTAAAAAATTAGCATTCATGTAGATTTCCAGTCATCAATATACCATAGGTTACTTAATACCCATCAAATTTCCCTTAAAAGTATGTTTTCGTTTTATTTTACTAAATTTGTAATCGTTCAATTACCATTTCTTCAAATAAGATGGATTTTTGAACAACTCTATACTAAGGAGTGTACTTTTTTGTTTGTCTTAAAAAGTAAAACCTGTATATTTAAGACTTGAAGAATGATAAAACAAGGGCCGCTAGAGGATTACACATGAAAAAAGTTAAATAATGGATTGTATTTCCAAATGTTTATCTAGTACAGAAATTAACTTTTCAGATTGAAATGTGTGTGCTGTCGCAAAGACATTCAAATTACACGTCTTGCAAATTAACGGAGAAAAATCGATACCCCGTTTCCGTTCCGATTTAGAAAGTAATTCTACCTTTGCAAACAAGTTCAGGGCTGTATGCGACATTGTCACACCTCAGCTCGCGTGGCTATATCAAGGCGGTAAAAATTGGGAGAGACAATCGAGTTACCGTAAAACTTCTGTCAAGCAAGCAAGGTTTCATTACGTTTCTCATATGTCACTTTCAAACCTTCTCTCAATTAGAGGGGGGGGAAAAGCAATTCTCTGCGTTCTTTTTATTTGGAAGTACGAACAGGAATAGACAAGATGAGCAAGCAAAGGGATAAATAAATGTGTGTGTGTGTGTGTGTGTGTGTGTGTGTGTGTATTTAATTTAATTTGGATTAACGTCCTATTAACAGCTTAGGTGCTTAGGTAATTTAAAGACTGGATTTCATGCAAGTAATTTAAGCGCTTAATTGGATAGACCAAATACCACTTTAGAGTGCTATTTCAATGAAATACCAAGTCGAAGTCACCCAGTTTAGCATTTTACCTTACAGACGTAGCGATTAGCCTAAATGCTAAACGTTTAGCAGGTAACTGCAACTATCATTTAGCTTACCCCGGCCTGGGGACGGGACCCATTGTCTTACACATCTCGCTTCATTATGAATATTTCGTTAATAAAAGCATAAATGTCCTTTCTTTATGCATTAAAACATTAGCTATATTTTTAGTCATGTTATAAGGAACTACCAAGTTTGTTGGGGTTATAACAAAACAAAAACTGTGTGTACGTTTTTGTATAATTATCTGCGAAGTGCACACAGGTTTTGCGGAACATACCATATAAACCCACAATAATTCTTAATTTAAAAAAGACGAATTGGAAACTCTTTGTTAAAAGTTAATTGCACTGTAGTTTCAAACCACTGTTATTTTTGTTTGTTTCAGGTGATTTGTTCCGCTGAACAACAAGCTGCAGGCCAACGGGATTGTACGGATATCTTCGTAAAATGCCGGGAATATAAACAACGCCATGTGTTATAAAACACCACCTCTTGGTTTTCATCAGTTTCAGTTTTAAGAAAGAGTGAAATAATCTATTTCATTGCCTGATGTCGTAGATCGTGAGAAATAATCTATTTCATTGCCTGATGTCGTAGATCGTGAGAAATATTCTATTTCATTGTCTGATGTCGTAAATCGTGAGAAATAATCTATTTCATTGCCTGATGTCGTAGATCGTGAGAAACAATCTATTTAATTGCCTGATATCGTAGATCGTGAGAAATAATCTGGGAAAATGAGGGCAAGTAGATTCAGATGGCGTCGCTTTTTCTTTCTTTCTATTGGTTTGTTTCTTTTGAGTGTCTTCATGTTTTATCAGTCCTTGTCGATCGAGGGTGTCACGTGCTTGGACCGGTTTGTCTCGCCGAGGATAACAATGGACCTTGACGATCAATTGGTTGCTGGACACGGCGTAAGGAAAACAGCTAGCACAATTCGAAAATTTGTAGATAACAAATTAATTTCAAGTTTTGAATCGGATCTAGAGGGAAACATTATTCCTAATAGCATTCATTATGTGTGGTGCCATAATCGTAGTCTCCATTTTGAAAATTATCTGAGCATCTTAAGTGCCTGGAAGGTTATGCAACCTGACATTATTGAATTACATACAAAGTATGATATACATGGTGGGGCGGATAAATATAATTTCTGGCTTGAGGATCTCAAAAAAACTATCCCTGGTTTCGTTGTGAAGGCGATGCCTAACTACAACAATGATCCAGCTTGTGGTGTTTGGTATGGTATCGATGTCCTGATGGATCGTGGTGGAATATACTTCAGTGAAAATCTATTTCTGATGCAATCGTTGCGTCATTTACGACGCCAAGAGTCATCGGTGGGTGTTACCGATGGTGATTGGACAGTCAGTCACGTGATGTCTGTTGACCATAACCGTCACGCGCTAGTGACTTTAAAGCAATTGTTGACAATGAAAAATACAGAAGATGCAGACAATATCATTCCAGATCATTATTCTCACTGTGAACAATTAGGAAGCGATTTAACAATTGTATACGAAAATACGACATGTATTGAAATACCAGCTTTATATCCAAAGGATATTATGTATTCAAACACTTCATTTGCATATAATGTTAGGCTAATACTTTATGGTGAATCGGCAATTGTTGCACCTAAGGCAAATCTGCCAGGTGTAATACCAAAAATCATTCACCTTGTTTGGTTCAACAGAAAAACCATGGATTTTATGATGTATCTAAGCTTACGGAGTGCTCTTACATTTTTGAAACCAGATAAAGTATATATCCATGGCGACAAACTACTGGAAGGAAGATACATGGACAAATTCAAAAAGGATCCAAGGATTATTATGGTTTATAGGGAAGTTCCGAGATATGTTTTCGGAAAAGATGTGCTTTATACACAGCACAAAAGTGATATAATACGAGCAGATGTTTTGTTAAAATACGGTGGGATCTATATGGATTGGGACGTTCTCTGGCTTCGTCCTATCGACGATCTGATTCAAACCGGATATGACGCCATAGTCAACTTTGATCACATGCCATGGCCTGATTTTCCAGATGCGTTCAATTTGGGCGTTCTTATGGCAAAGCCGGGGTCAGAGTTTATCAAAAGATGGCAAGCGGCCTTAGTGGATTACAGATCGTGGGATTTCTTTTACAACGCCATTTTGTTGCCTTACAAGATATACGAACGCCATCCTCACAGTGTACACATAGAGAAACACTTACAAGTCATGTGTTATCAACTTAAGTGTCATCCTACATTTCAACCCGGATACAAGAATTTCAACCGCGAGCAGGACTTTAATTGGAAGATGGATACTTACTCCGTCCACTTCACATTTCCGGACCCACCAGCCTTGACCAACGCCTCCACGCTACGAAAAAGTCACGGAATGTTTGCAGACATTGGCCAATACATCCTAGACCAGCCTTATGAGTTTGATTAAAAACACGCTTCATCCGGATTTTTTGTTTTCCCCGATGTCGGTGTTTTGATGGCAATCATATATTGTTTGAGATTATTTTTGAACTTTGTATTTCCGAACATATTCTATCACATGACTATAGTGTTATTTAGTGCATACACATATGTCTTATGTTTGCGTGTGTACCTATCTGATATAACCCATTGTAATGTTGTCAAATTATAATTAAATTATACACCGAGAGTCACATACTCCCGGTGTATATAATGGCGTCACAATGCAAACGATAGCTGCTCTTGTGATAAAAAAAAATGGCCTTTAATTCTTTATTTTAGACAAAGAATCTCCAGAGCTTGATTCTTGAATACCTGGAGGTTCAATATTTCCTTGTCAAATGCTATTTAAAATGACGTCATTCAATTGTTTTCATTATGACGTCGTATGCACGTGTAGCTTGTCTCGTCATCACTTGTTTGGCACATCTGGCGACCAGGCCAGCAGTGGTAATTGCACGTTCAATCTGAATAATGCATCAATTATTGTAAACTTTCTTAGTTAGATTGCCTTTGAGGTGCTACATTTTTTTGTATATACGGAGTGATTTAATTTTTATGCACATGATGTATGAACCATGTATATATTATTATTATGATATTTACATTTTTGAAAAAAATACAACGAATACTCATTTCACCGGTATTTTTCACATGTGGGAAACGCAATATAATGATGACTTTTTATTAAAGTTTTGTTTCCAGTGTTTCCAGTGTTTCCAGACAGTAACTATAAAAGGACTCTCCGAAAACAATTGCATTTGGAGTTTGAATTATGGTCCAATAATGAAGGTGTTTTCTGAACAAATGTACCCTCCAGAGCCGACCTCACTTTAAAGCTACAGTAGAAAAATATAAGCGAATATACATATTATTTTAGTCAATCAGTTCTCATAATACTGCTTCCGGTGCAAGATAAACGTAACACATGCATAGGTAATTGCACCGAAACAAATTTGGTCAAAACCACAATATGCGAAAAATGAAATACAGAATTGTACACTACATCATACAGCTGTTTTGTCCTTCCAGGTTAATAAAACCACTTATTCTTAAGAATTTCAAAATTTTGAAAGTATAGGTTAATTTGAAGCAGAAGAATACTGTCATAATATATTTATTGTATTGGGAAATTATAGTTATAGTGAAATCTCGTTTGTATGCCACCTAGTCCCTTATTGCCAGCATTTTACAAGGTCCCCGCTACTTTTCATCTGAACGATTCCCCTTAAAAGCTTCCCTCAATATAGCGCCACACCTCTTAATAAGCTTAAAAAACAAATGACGCAATTGTTGAAAACTCCATTACTTTAAAAATCAGAAACATTCTGAAAGATTTCAGCTATTTTGGTACTTCGTCTCTTTAGAATTCCTTGTTGATATACACAAGTACTCGATCCTTAAGTATAAGGATAAAAAAGTCGAAAATAAAATAAAATATAGTCAAGCTAACAAGACATTGAACATTCGGTTCCTGACAGTTAATTTGTATTGAAATGTTACTGTATTGATTGCTGTATTGATTATAACTTTGCTATTCCGCTTGTATCAAAGTTAGTTCGGGATTCCTTGGGCTTTTTTTAATTGATATTTATATGCATTTATAGATTATACAGTCTGCATATTGTCAAAACTTCTTGTTTCGATTTGTTTATTTACTGGATAAAGTCGAAATGATTTCAAGGTATAAATTCACGTATATCATATTTGTCATAATCAGTCATATAATGAAGAAATACAGTATTCCTCAAGCTCTTTGTTGTCTGTTATCATTCAAACCATTGTTTCTACCAATTTTGAGGGTTTTCCTAAATGTAATAATATGTACACTGCAGCATTCATAAATTGCAATAACATGATGGCATATATGACACAGTAACAAATACAAAAAACAACTTATTATTTTAATTTAGACGCATCGTTCAAAAGGGCTATTTGGCATAACAATAAAAATCAGTATAGACCTTTCGACTGTAGCTTATCTCATTAAAGACATTTCGACCATAATTTACCTTAGTGTAGACATTTCGACCGAAGATTATCTTAGTGTAGACATTTCGACCGTAGCTTACCTCATAATAGACATTTCGACCGTAGCTTTCCTCACAATAAACATTTCGACCGTAGCTTTCCTCGTTATAGACATTTCGACCGTAGCTTATAAGTATCTCAGTATAGACATTTTGACCCTAGATCACCTCAGTATAGACAATTCCACCGTAGCTTACCTCAGTGTAGTCGCGATCATTTCGACCGTACAATGTAGCTTACCACAGTATAGACAATTCCACCGTAGCTTACCTCAGTGTAGACATTTCGACCGTAGCTTACCTCAGTCTAGACATTTTGACCGTAGCTGACCTCAGTATAGACATTTCGATCCTAGATCACCTCAGTATAGACAATTCCACCGTAGCTAACCTCAGTGTTGTCTTTTCGACCGTAGCTTACCTCAGTATAGACATTTCGACCGCAGCTTACCCTAATGTAGACATTTCGACCGTAGCTTACCTCAGTGTAGACATTTCGACTGTAGCTTACATCAGTGTTGACATTTTGACCGAAGCTTAACTTAGTATAGCAGTTCGACCGTTGCTTACCTCAACATAGACATTTCGACAGCAGCTTACCTCAGTATAGAGACATTTCGGCAGTAGCTGACCTCAGTATAGGGACATTTCGACCTAGCTTACCTCAGCAAAGTGACATTTCGACCTTAGCTTATCTAAGCATTGTGATATTTCGACTGTAGCTTATCTTAGTATTGTCACATTTCGACTGTAGCTGACCACAGTATACTGACATTTCGACCTAGCTTACCTCAGCATAGTGAAATTTCGACCCTAGCTTACCTCATCATAGTGACATTCCGATCGTAGTTAACCTGAACAGCTTAGTGAAATTTCGACCCCAGCTTATCTTGACATAGTGACATTTTGCCCCTAGCTTACCTCAGCATAGTGACATTTCAACCCTACCTTACCGTAGCATTGTGACATTTCGACTGTAGCTGACCACAGTATAGTGACATTACGACCTAGCTTACATCAGCATAGTGACATTTCGACCGTAGCTTATCTTAGTATTGTCACATTTCGACTGTAGCTGACCCCAGTATAGTGACATTACGACCTAGCTTACATCAGCATAGTGATATTTCGACCGTAGCTTATCTTAGTATTGTCACATTTCGCCTGTAGCTGACCCCAGTATAGTGACATTACGACCTAGCTTACCTCGGCATAGTGAAATTTCGACCCTAGCTTACCTCATCATATTGACATTCCGATCGTAGTTAACCTGAACAGCTTAGTGAAATTTCGACCCCAGTTTATCTTGACATAGTGACATTTTGAACCTAGCTTACCTCAGCATAGTGACATTTCGACCCTAGCTTAGCTCAGCATAGTGACATTTTGATCGTAGCTGATCATAACATAGCAACATTTCGACGCTAGCTTACCTCAGCATAGTGTCATTTCGACCCCAGCCTATCTTGACATAGCGACATTTCGACCCTAGCTTTACCTCAGCATAGTGTCATTTCGACCGTGTATAGCTAATTACCTCGGTATGTAGACATTACGACCATATATAACAAAGTAAGAAATCAGTTTGACCCTTTATTATCCTAGTAGGTAGACAATTCGACCATAACTTGACATAGTGACATTTTGACCCTAGCTTACCTCAGCATAGTGACATTTCAACCCCACCTTACCGTAGCATTGTGACATTTCGACTGTAGCAGACCACAGTATAGTGACATTACGACCTAGTTTACATCAGCATAGTGACATTTCGACCGTAGCTTATGTTAGTATTGTCACATTTCGACTGTAGCTGACCCCAGTATAGTGACATTACGACCTAGCTTACCTCGGCATAGTGAAATTTCGACCCTAGCTTACCTCATCATAGTGACATTCCGATCGTAGTTAACCTGAACAGCTTGGTGAAATTTCGACCCCAGCTTATCTTGACATAGTGACATTTTGACCCTAGCTTACCTCAGCATAGTGACATTTCTACCCTACCTTACCGTAGCATTGTGACATTTCAACTGTAGCTGACCACAGTATAATGACATTACGACCTAGCTTACCTCAGCATAGTTAAATTTCGACCCTAGCTTACCTCATCATAGTGTCATTCCGATCGTAGTTAACCTGAACAGCTTAGTGAAATTTCGACCCCAGTTTATCTTGACATAGTGACATTTTGAACCTAGCTTACCTCAGCATAGTGACATTTCAACCCCACCTTACCGTAGCATTGTGACATTTCGACTGTAGATGACCACAGTATAGTGACATTACGACCTAGTTTACATCAGCATAGTGACATTTCGACCGTAGCTTATGTTAGTATTGTCACATTTCGACTGTAGCTGACCACAGTCTAGTGACATTACGACCTAGCTTACCTCAGCATAGTGAAATTTCGACCCTAGCTTACCTCATCATATTGACATTCCGATCGTAGTTAACCTGAACAGCTTAGTGAAATTTCGACCCCAGATTATCTTGACATAGTGACATTTTGACCCTAGCTTCCCTCAGCATAGTGACATTTCAACCCTTCCTTACCGTAGCATTGTGACATTTCGACTGTAGCAGACCACAGTATAGTGACATTACGACCTAGCTTACATCAGCATAGTGACATTTCGACCGTAGCTTATCTTAGTATTGTCACATTTCGCCTGTAGCTGACCCCAGTATAGTGACATTACGACCTAGCTTACCTCGGCATAGTGAAATTTCGACCCTAGCTTACCTCATCATAGTGTCATTCCGATCGTAGTTAACCTGAACAGCTTAGTGAAATTTCGACCCCAGATTATCTTGACATAGTGACATTTTGACCCTAGCTTACCTCAGCATAGTGACATTTCGACCCTAGCTTAGCTCAGCATAGTGACATTTTGATCGTAGCTGATCATAACATAGCAACATTTCGACCCTAGCTTACCTCAGCATAGTGTCATTTCGACCCCAGCCTATCTTGACATAGCGACATTTCGACCCTAGCTTTACCTCAGCATAGTGTCATTTCGACCGTGTATAGCTAATTACCTCGGTATGTAGACATTACGACCATATATAACAAAGTAAGAAATCAGTTTGACCCTTTATTATCCTAGTAGGTAGACAATTCGACCATAAGATACCTCAATATAATGGCAATTCATTGAAAGTTATGCTTTACCTCAAATAATCTGACCGTATATTACCCCATTTAAGAGACTACTCAACATTTGACCGTACGGAGGCAATCCGGCCAAATATTAGATTCAATCGTAAGTTACCTCAGTATGGAATGTAATAAGAATTTAAAACAGAATAGCAAATCCAGTATCAAAAGACTAGATATAATTGTGTTTTATCTGTGCACTGGTACAGGTTACAAATCATATTGTTGAATGCAATTTTGATATAAAAATCGATATTTCCCGTCTCATGTCAATTTGTAATTACCAAAAGGAATCTCTCAAATTAACGAAACTGGTTTCAATTTCGCTGTAGCACGTGCAGGGTTATATGGTTAATACAAGACATGTTATACACCCGAGCATTATGAACAGAATTTCATAAAATCTGAATTGCGGTGCAATTACAAAATCGGCTATAACCTCATAAACATTGTGCTAAATCGACTCATATAACTTCTACACCAAAGCCAACGTGTACGATAAAAGACACGCCAGTGTGACTACAGTGGAGGTAACACAAATATCTGAGAACCTACTGGCATGTTTTTTGGACCTGACAAGCGTTCACCGATAAAGTAGGTACAATATGACGATACAAGCGTGCGCAAAACTGTGCGATAGCTATCGCGCAGTTGTTCGATAGGTATCCTGGTTGATATATATCAAAGAATGACATGTGAATGAATACGAATTTCTTACATTAATGGACACATCACTTACCGAAATTGTCTTCTTCCATCAACTCTTTTCTTTGTTCTCCAACAGTGTGGAAAACGATTACACCTCGCTTACATTTACTGGTATATCACTTATAATGTCTCTGACCATTCCTCATTTAAGACGCAACCGGCATCCTTTTGCTGAAATCAAAATTGATATTTTGTCACATTCTAATGAAGGTTCGGGTTTTGGATGGTGACATGCTTTGCAACAAAAAATCAATTTGGACAAAAGTATAAAGTTTATTTTTATCATAGCATGTATTTACAGTTTGAGTCTAAACTAAGCTGAGTGGTTACGTGAGTTAAATTTACACGGAGTTAAAACAACGGTTTTTGCTGTGACCTGATCAGGGATTCTTACTAATCAAGCTAAAACTATTTGGTAAGGACAGTTGACAGCGGAGTTCGATTCCTCGAGCAGACATAAACAGATTTTGTCACCTGCCCGAACACGTGATTTTTCTCCGGTTTCCTCCCCATTAATACAAGACCGCGTTTGCGCTAATATCCGCGCCAAGGAAATGATTAATATAAATTGAATAACTTTTACAATTGTTGTAATATATATATAGTTTACACTATGTATTAAGTTATCGATCGGTTTTGTAAGTGGATCCTTGGAATGGTGTAGAGTCGATGATTTACCGCTGTTGCAAAGAGAAATGAATCTTTGGATATGTTCTAGCAAATCGATACATTCAAAATATATTTCATGGCCGTATCTGTTTTGATGTAGCTTATTGCACAAATCGTAATTCTACACGATACTGCGTTAGCTTAGACATATTTATCATACACCTTTACATGTAACTTATACGAAACCGTCACTGTGAAAGGTATTTCGCACACAAGGTCTTTCAATATACTGAAACTAAAATAAAACATTTGCTCTGCCAGTTACTACAAAATTGTTTACAAGTAATGAGAACATGTATAAACTCTGTTACTTGTAGGAAATGGAAAATTATTAGTTCTACAGAGCCGAATATAATTACCTTATCCATCGGTTGTCTTAATATCGAGACGCTACTTGTTATTTTGATCTTTCCTTTTCCTTTTGTTTATACATCTGAATTCGCTCTTGCTACTCGCGTATAATTAAATAGTTATCTACTGCGATGTCATGAACTACGTCATTGAGACATTGAGAAATTATCTCGGTGTTTTGGTGAAAGGAGAGTGCGCTATCCACTGCACCACCCTATCGCTCTGTTCTAATAGTATGTTTAAAACTTGAATCAAGCCGTCTGCATAATAGAAACACCCATACATTCACAATTGTCATTATTATAAATTTACATCAAGTAGATCACAAAGTAGATAATGACGAAGGACCTGTAGCACCGTAAGAACATGTCACCTACACTTATGAACAAGTTGCAAGATTTTAACTTATTTTGACGTCTGCCTAGCAGCTTAGCCATATGAAAACAGATTCAAATGTAGACACAGCCGGAAACAAAAGAGTAGGTAACAGAGGTTCAACAGTTTCGATTGGGGGACAGCAGATCAAGTTTGGCTTGTTCAATTTAAGCAAAAGACACCAAAGAAAACCACTGATACTGCAGGCAGCACCACATTAGATGCCTCATTTGTTTAATTCTCGACATTAAATGAAAAGAGTATCTAGAAATATTCCATATCTAACTTTAAAGTGAAAATTATCAGCTATAAAAAAGTACTGTGTTATATATTTATAAAGACACTGGCTTCCATAGACAGGTAATACTTCTCCGATGAAAACAAATGTGCAGACACAAACACTCTGTATTGTAACATCACAATAAGAAAATTATAAGGGCTATGGTCTCGTTACAGTTGTGAATACTCATAATTGGTAAGAATAAAACCAGCGGTGTTTTTTTTCGTCACAGTAGAAAAAATCACCATTATTTTTTCTGTAAACCTTATGTTTTACTGTTGGAAATGTACATCTGTAAGTAAGTAAATAGTTTGTGTCATGTTGAGTTGACGCTCAGTTATGTTGTTTTGTTTTCACTTTAAATTGATATTGTCATAACCACATGACACCAAGTGTGTGCTGACGTCACGAGAACAGAGGCTGATCAACAAAGTCCCAGTCTATGACGTTTCGGGAGTAGGGACATCTTATACACTAATAAAACGGAATTGACACACAATTCAAGTATGGGGGAAAATCTACTATAACGGAAATCGCCAATTACAGAGGACCTACATACAGTTTGAACGTCACTATTGGTGCGCACTAAACATAGGCTGTGATGACTCACTGGTTTTGTTTGTTTGGGGTTAAACGTCCTCGCAACAGAAAGGGTCATATATGCGGACGGGTGCCTAGGAGACACCACCGGAAGGGAAAAAAAAGATAGAAACAAAAATATACAAGAAATTGCGAAAATGAAAAAGAAAAGTGTTTCATTGGGAGCGTCTAATCGACTTTGGTCTCTTTAATGTCCACTTAGTAGAAACCTCCGATCAGGCAGTGGGATACAGCAGGTCTATTCAGGTATAATTGTAATTGACATACTATACAGTCGGTCATCTGGACCCGTATTCATGAAACCGTTCTCATGCTGAAGCCGAAATTCTGTGTAATTGACATACTATACAGTCGGCCATCTGGACCCGTAGTCATGAAACCGCTCTCAACCTGAAGCCAAGATTCTGTGTAATTGACATACTATACAGTCGGTCATCTGGACCCGTAGTCATGAAACCGCTTCCATGCTGAAGCCAAGATTCTCTGTAATTGACATACTATATAGTCGGCCATCTGGACCCGTATTCATGAACCCGTTCTCATGCTGAAGCCAAGATTCTGTGTACAAACCCAATTACTTTTGCCAGTGATAAATTGAGAAGAAGAAATATGATTTTTGTGGGTGTAATGTAAGAAATTTGGAAACACTTTGATACTGTTTTCAATGTTTACACTTGACTTTTTGACCTTGTTACATGATTTTATGAGAGTTTCAAGCACAAATCGGGGCAAAATGACCGGATTAAAACTGCTTCACCCATGGCAACGTTTTTAGAATTTAGGAAACAAAAAAGATCCGAAATGTTGCAATGGAGACAGCAGATCAATTCTGGTCCCTTCCATTTCCCCTTTATAGAAGACACGGACGAAAAACCCCGATTATTTAAATAGGCCCCACATAAGTCGCCTCTTACGATCATGCCGTGGGTGCAGCAGGCCTATTCTATTCCCATACAGAACGGGTTGACTAAAGTGTTTAACGTTCACACAGGTAATGGAGTTAATGGGTTCAGTCCAAAGGTCAGTACTTACCAAAATCCTAAAAATGGTAGTTGTCATTTCCTATTTTAGGTTCAACTGGTAACAACTGGTCCACCCGTTGTAAGTACAATGTGAGACAGCAGATCTTTGTTTAGTTTCTTTAATGCTCCCTTATAATTAGAAGACACAGGAGGAAACGCCTTATTTTGCATGGGTTCTACGTTAGTCGCCTTTTACGACATTCAGTTGGATACAACAGGAGAATTCTTACCCAGAATCTGCTACCATCGCAAGGAGGCAAATACACCAGCATACAACCACCAGCACACAAACACACATACATAACACACATACATAACACACATGGAGAAACGTACTTGAATAACCTAGCTGTTACTAGTATTAGAACGCTTAACAATATAAAACCAAACCAAACTTCGTAATTTTACGTCGATTTAGTTGTTATTGTTATCTCCGTCTGAGTGGTGATATTTTATTTTTGTTAATTTACATCACTTGAGTTTTCTTTCTATTTTTTATAGCAGTTGTTGAAGTCAAATGTTCTACTTACACGAATCCTTCTAGTGTTATATTGAACAATATACTTTCGATCATGACTCTCCCGACGGCGGCTGTAGATATCAAAGATCAAAATCATAAACATAGTACAGGGTAACCTCTAGACACAAGGTAAATACCGCACTAAATCTTAACTTGTGAGAAGATAAACTCATACATCTGCTATATCTTGGCTTTGGGAAAAATAAAAATCGTTTTCAGAATACAGTACCTATTTTGACAGGTGTCATTTTCATGTAAAACTTACATTTAAGACATTTCATATGCTGCCCATGCTGAACATTTTTGCTAAGTTGCTTATAATTGGTTTCTTACTGTTGGGATGATGACACGGTCTGTATTAAAGGTATTTATCACAAATATATTTCCAAGATATTATGTAACATAATATTATCTAAAATTCAAAATTTAACATGTATTATTTCCAAATATTTGATCTTAATTATCGGAAATAAAAAAGAGTGCAATGTGATTAGAATTAGGACTACTCGATATTATTTTGCAGTTTTGTTTTAATATCTATGTATGTGAGGGGGAGGATGGGGGGGGGGATATACCATGCGAACTCTTACTATGAACCTGCTACCAACGCAGGGAAGCAAACATACAGAACACACATGGAGACGCGTCCTTGAATGACCTAGCTGTTAATAGCGAACGCTCGTGTGTGAGCTTCATATGTAACACGTTCACGTACACGTAAAAGAAACCCCAGTCAAAATCTACCATGAAATCCCATAGACCTAGCAAGTCAATCTACTTGCATAATTAGGGAAATCGCGCGTGCACACATTCTGTTTATGGAACCCGCCATTTTGGATCCACCGGATGTAGAATAATTTCCAATAAAAGCTATCTATTTTAATACAGAAACATACGGTCTCAAATAACGTTTCTTTTTCTTTTTCAATTTTAATGATTTATTTGACATTACGCCGATTTTCTTGCCCATACGTTTCTGTCGAGACCAAACCCAGCATAAACAGATAAAACCAGCGTTCAACGTCATCAGTCATTATGATGCGTGTATTTTAGGTTGTAAAAATAACAACACAATTATCATAGAAAAGTATCATATTGTGTGTGTGTAAGAAATCCGGTCATGGGTCCATGTAAAAGAGCAAAATTACGTAAGATACATGTTTTTGTCAGGAGTAAGGATGGAGGTTGTATTTATTTTTCATTTTCGTAGAGTCTACACACTCGGGTTCTACTTAGTGTTTCAAGCTACTGTTGCATTGAACAATATATTTCAGATCATGACTCTCCCGACGGCGGCTGTATATATCAAAGATCAAAATCGTGAACATAGTACAGGGTTAAATACCGCACT